AAGAATCTCTAAGTTATATTTTAAAAAATATTATTAATAATAAACATATTTTATATATAGTGCCATCTATGACAAGGAGCGTCAAATGATCTACAAAATAGATGAGGTGCGCAATGAGGCAGCCGCCTTCTGGGAAAACAAACTTTAGTAAGTCTTTAATCTCTAAAATATTTTATTAACATGGCTTATAACTTGGATCCTACAACCCCAGCACAGAGATGACAAGACTGACTAATGAACTGGAGTCCGTGTATGTGGACGAGCGCCGGGATGCGTTGGATAAACTGCAGAACGAGCATATTGAGGAACTCAGGGCCCTGACCAATCGATATACGGCCAATGAGGAGGAACTGCGAGCTGAGGTAATATATATCTTTCTAAAATAATATCAAAATCTATTTATTTATAATTTATAAATACCCTTTAGATCGAGGATCTGCACGCTAGCCTGGAGCTGAAGAAACAGGATTTCCTCAGCCTGCGCGAACGTTCGGATAACGCCCTTCTCCAGACCCGCATGCATTTGGATAAGGCCGATCGCGAGTACCAGAATGCCATGTGCCGCGAGGAGGATCGCCGCGTGGAACTGGAGGAGAAGCTGAAGAAGGAGTTCGAGGCGGAGAAGGCCGAGATGGAGGAGAAGTTCCGCGAGCGACTCGGCCAGGTGAAGGAGGAGTTCGCCAAGGAGCTGCAGCTCTCCACGCAGGACATGGTCGATGCGCACCGGAAAGAGCTGGGTGAGACAAGGACTCATAATACAAATTTATAGATTTACATTTTGATAAAAAAGTGTTATTAACTATTTGACATATGCATATTGTATAGCAATTCTAATGACATATGAAAATTATATTACATATGCATATTATATACTAATTATAATATATATTATATTGTCCCATGCCATAGATAACATTTTTTAACGTTCTAATCCATTTATAATTTCCAAAAGATTTTATTTTAAGTTTGCCTCCACCTTAGAGATCTTTTATTCCAATTTTGTAATATATTACAAATATTATCATAATATGTGGATTATAACAGAAATCGGTTTTTATGCATCGGATCTCTAGCGACCCTTGCTTCATAACAATGATTAGGCTATTATTGTAATATGTTTAGATCTAATAGGTTTTTTATAAAGAACGTTGTATAAGTTTGAATAGTCGAATGGCTTTCCATCTTCGCCATTAAATTTAATAAAAGAAATAGTACTTAACGTGTTTTTATGTGCTTTTGTTCGGTTAATGTTAGATCTTATAATGATGTTATACAAAATCGATCAATTTATTCAAATATTTGATCAAATTCGAACGCCTGATTATCTTGAAGTAATATTAGGTTGTATTTCCGTATCAGTATTTAATTGCTAACTTAAATTTAAATTAAAATCTCTCATAATTATTATTAATTTTTCCCCAAAACCAACAGACTCTCAAAAGGCCAAATTGCAGGCGGAGAAGGACGAGGCGTTGCAGGAACTTGTGGAACGACATCGCGCGAAAATGGCCGCTGCCGATGAACGAATCAAGTGAGTGGCTAAGTAGCATGCCCCGCCTTACCCATATATAGTTACCTGGTAGTTCCCCCGTACCACTGCTCCCTCCTAAATTGGCTAATTACCATTGGCTTGCATTGAATGTCTGCATCCCACTCATTTGTCACCTTTGAGGCCTTGATCTCGATTCATTATCATATGAACTTGTATTCTGTTTCTCTCGTTTCACATTTTATTCATTGGATCAGCATGGATCAGCATTTAGGTCGATCGACAACCTCTCCGGCCCTGTGGGCGTTGGCCAAGGGGGCGTGGCCGTATATGCCGACCCTATATGTGCTATATCTGACCATGTCGCCGCTGATCGCCATTGCATGCTTAGTGTTCAATATTGTCGCTGTGCTTTATATTAAATACCGTCACCTCTTAATCCGCCAATAAAATATTACCCCCTGTTTAAGCTTGATATGGTCCCTAATTTAATATTGGGCCTTTATGGAAATCTCTAGGATTTGCAAAACATTGGTTTAGGTGTCTTAAACTGGTAAAAGATTTATCTAGATATTAAAAAAAATATTATTTTCATTAAACCGAAATCAACTGCCTAATTTCTTTCAAGATAATATTAAGGTTTGAACATATATTATATTCCGTGCTCAAAAAATGTATCAACCCAATAACTACAACCTATAGAGATATTCAGATTGTACCATAAACTATATTCACATTTTATTCACAATTTTACAAAGATTGTTTGTTATTATTTTATTATTTCCTTAAGTCCTAACTATAAGTCATTAATTTCATAGAAAACTCAGTCTGTACTTAAAAATAATTGTTGTTTGATTGTAGAACACCTAAATGAATGCTTATGAACCTTAGAACCCTAAGATTATTATGTTATTCTGGAATGCAGCTTGTCAAGCGTTGCCCTTTTCGGAACGATTCTCTTAATATTTTACTTTCTCTTTCTCGCTATGTGTGTGTATCCACCTCAACCTCTGCCCACTCTATATAACCTGAATAACCCAACCCCGAATCTGAATCTGAATCCGACCACGAACCCAAATCCGCAACCGCATCCGCATCCGCAGCGATGTAGAACTCGGCACCAGCGCAATCTCAAGGACCTGAAGGCGGCCTACGATGCCGAGAAGGCGGCGCTGGACAAGCGCGACATCAGCAACGCCAACGAGATCGAGCAGCTGCACCGCAAGTGCCGCTGCCTGACCAACCTGTAAGTGCCCCCACCCAAAACCACCCACCTTATCCCCAAGGTCCGGTTCTTAAGTCCGTTATATACGACCAAGAAACTTAGTATTACTGAGATAGAGACTCGTATCTGAAAAATTTTTTTTAAAAATCATATACTATGTACTATACTATTCTTTAAAAAATCCTTTAAACTAAACCTTTAAAAATGTATCTAAATATAAGCTATATAGTCCCAAAAATCTTAAATATCTTCTGTTTGGAATACAATTTTATCGATTATTTACACAGTTTTAGCACATATATTTTTACTTGACAATGAATTTAAGAAACTTGACCGAAGACTTTATACTTTAGACTTTATCTATCCTATCCAAACTTGTTATTCTTTGCTTGTCCGTGTTGTGGGATGTTGTACGCTAAGTCAGTATCCAGTATCCGCCTTAAAAATCATATATCCTGGTATATAATAAAAAATATCTTATATTATTTCAGGTTCGAGGAGATGCGCATGCGATACGAACGGAGGGATCCTCGAGCCGAGGATCTGCGTGAGATATCCGAACTGCGAACACGATGCGAAAGTCAGGAGCGAGATCTATACGTACTCACCGATCGCCTGAGGGAAATGCAGATTCAAATGTCCGAGATGCAACAAAATGGTGACCGAAAAGGCGGTGGAAAGTCGGTGAAGAAACCTCCGCCCAAATCGATACCCACCAGCTGTGACGTCATTTACGAGGAAAACGAAGAGCGGGAGTCCCCTGAGCATGAAAATGGGGAAAACTCCTCCCAGGGAGATGACGATGAGGAGGAGGAGGAAATCGAACAGGAGCCCAGCGATACAGAGTCAAATCACACGATCGAGGTCAATGGAAAATCCGATCGGATTAACGAAGATGACGCCCATCTCATCACCGCCGTGTGATCCACCTTTTCTTATATATTTTCCAATTTTGTGGCTGTATTTTTCGAGATCCCCCTGGAGTGGATGTTCCAGGACCAAGGATGTGTGATCCCGGGTGCTTTGGTGCTCTATGTGCTGCCCTCTGTATCGCAGGATACGGAATCGACCCACTCAACAAAACCGCTCAAAGCTTGAACTCAAAAAAATTGTAAATCTAATTTCTGAATTGGTTTCTGAAACCGCTAAAAAAAGAACGAAATAAATGTAAATATTTTTAACTAAAACAAATTAGGGTGTGTTTTAGGGAGTACGGGTTCTTAACTAACTTTTAAAATAACCTATTGGATGAAAAAAAATATGTTTCAATGCTTTACCTAAATTTTATGTAGGTGTTACCTATTTTTAATTAAATAATATTTTTTGTTCATTTTTTTGGTTAAAGTGTTTAAATAAAATTTAGCACAATAAATTTGTACATGAATTCTACAGTCTGTATTAATTTTACATGTCTATTTACATGTTACGCCAATTCAACGAAACGCTGACAACCCTGTCTGCAAAACTGTTTAATGCTCGCTCTCCAAAACTCTCCTCTCTCTCAAATTCAAAGAAAAATGTCTGCAACTGTCTTGCTCTAACGCACGAATTGTATTGTGAGAGAGCTCAAGCTGAGAGGAGCTAAAATAAACGGCTGTCCAGGATTTCTTATCATTTTTAGCTCAATACGATTTTAAAATCATATATGTATGTATGTATGTATAAATCACATTAAACACGGTTTGCCTTTTAATTTTATATAAATTTTTTTTTTACATTTTAAGAAAAGTCTGAGAAATTTAATGAGATATTTCATTTATTAAGTTTATTTCCTAGTACCACATTTTGCTAGAGAAATCGTTGAACTCCAAATTAAACACGCTCAATAATTCTAAAATTATAAAATGGTGCAATTATTTTCAGAGTTCATGTCCAAATTTTGAATTTGACTAAACTTTTTTTAAGTTAAATCATTAAGTATAAACTTATTGTAAAAAAGTGACACGATCTACATGATTTGTTTGAATTATTTTGGATAAAATAGTCAAGCTTTAGAAGACATAAATATAAATTCTTTGTTTCGACACAAATATTTATATTTATATACACATGTCTTCGATTTTCGAAAATTTGTTCCAAAATTTTTAAAACAACTTGATGTTAGTGCTAGCATCTGTTAGCTCAACAGATGTTTCGGGCTCTGTTAAGTCGACAGAGAGTGAGAGAGCCCGAGAGCGTGAGAGTGTGATCGCGCATGCGCCCGAGCGAAACACCGAGTGTACTAAACGATTAGCTCGTTTAGATCGGGTCCCAAATATATACGAGTGCATGCACCGCCGCGTTTCCGAATTCGTCGCTCAGTTTGAAATTCAAACTCGAGGAAAGCGGTCGATTTGAAGAAACGAAGAAACGGCCTGGTCGCGTGAAAAACTGAAAAAGCCGGCAAAACAGTTGTGGGCAAACTGATTACTGAATCGAATGCAAGTGTTGTGATTGAGAAAAACGGTGGCCAAACGAGCCGTTTAATGAGCAAACAAGCTGGCCAATAACCAATAACCATTTACCGTTTGCCAGCGAGGAAAGGGAAATCGTGATAACAAAGCGGAGACGAAAGAGCAGGAACAACCGGCAGCAATTTGTTAATTTTAAACGTCGTGTGTGTTCCGCAGTAATTTCACAAGCAGTTCAATTTGCATTTTAAGGATTCACTTTATAGTTTTGGCAACGAACGAGAAACAGCAAGGTCGTTGGGGTCAAATGTTGTGATGCAAGTGACAAAATCAAAATTGGAGTAAATAAGAAAGAAAAAAAGTATGTAATTTTTTGAGCATCCTCGCGTCGCGTAACGGTAAATCTTTCGCCCTGCGTGTCTCTGTGTGCGTGCGTGTTTGAGTGTGCGTTTTTCGGTTTTGTTTTCATCTCCTCCTTGCCGTCCTCCTTTACCACCTTCAATTGCCATCTCCTAATTTCTTCTACGAAAAGGAAGGGCGAAGAACGAGAGCCAAAAGTAAGTGCCGCTACTTTTATTCCTTCTATGTGTTATTGTAAAAGATTTGCAGCCATGTGAGTGTGTGAGGGAGATTTTGGGTGTGCGAGCGTGTGTGTGTGAGTGTGTGTGTGCAGCCTCCACCAAGCGCCGCATTTAAAGGATATTCCTAATCCGTTTTATTGATTGCAGGGCAAAAAGGAGAGGAAAAAATAAAACGGCAACAACAACAACTACACAGCTGGAGTGCTCGAATTGTTTGTGTGTGTCTATATGGGTGTGTGTGTTTCCCGTGTTTAGTTGTTGTTCTCGGCAATCTGTGCCGCTTTTTTATGTTTTTATTCCCCCTCCATTTCCACTCTATCCTCATCCTCCGGGGTTGTATGTAGTTGTTGTTGCCCGTGATTTTGTAGTGCCTGCTGTTTTCGTTTCTTCTCTCTCTCTCCCTTTCACCTTCTAATTCTGACTCTCTGCCGGCTTTTTGTTGTTGCTGCCCACAGATTTCCCGACAAATGTTAATTATTTATGCAACACTTCCTTTTGCCATTTCCATGTTTTTATATCCTTCTCCAATTGTCAATTTCCACTGTATCGATTGTATTCGAATTTCCATTTTTGAGAATGCTTAAAATATTAGTCAAAAATCATAAGAACAACATTATATTTATAATCCACTCTTATTTTAATTAAAAAAGTGAAAAAAAGCGAAAAATATAAACATCATAAAATATATTACAACATGTTGAATAAATATAATTTTTCATATTGATTTCCCAAAGATTTTTAATATATTGGTCCATTAGAACTCGAACATTTTTTTTGAATGTCCATTTTTTAAGATGTTGGACTGTATTATATTAAATTATCTAAGCTAGAACATTATTCTAATAGTTTTGATATAATACAAACAATCTTAAGGAAACAATCTTATAAAAAAGTGGACAATGTGGTTAAAAATTTGAAAATATTATAAATCTACATTGTAAATTTCTAAACTGTAAACAATTTGTAAACTTTGGAACATATTTGATATGATACAAACAATCTTAAGGAAACAATCTTATGAAAACAGTGGAAAAAGTGGTTCAAAATTTCAAAATATTATAAATCTACATTGTAAATGTTCTAAACTATTAAAAATTTCTCATCTTTTGAATACATTATTCGTTTCAAACATTAATAAAACCATTAAAAAATTTTTAATATTAAAAAGGCACAAACATTTTTTAAATCATATTTAGTATAGCTATTGGCTTTTTTATTCCTGACAATAAATTTGCTAAGAATGGCAATCATTTGAAATTTTTGTGCCTATTAAGTGCTCAAATGTTTTTAAGTTCCTTTAGCTACTGAAATGTTTTTAAACACCTGTCTTGGCAGTGTCAAAATAAAACCTAAAGTTGCTGACTTTAAGACAGCGAAATGAGTGTTTTTAAATCTCACAAACACACCTCCCTTTTCACATTTTTTCGAGTTTTTTTTTCCGCTTATCTTTGCTTGTAATACTTGTACATTTTCGCTGCGTTCCATATCTCTGTGAATAACTTCATCAGAAAATTAAGCGAAATATGCCAGGCACCTGCCCCCGTGGGCATAACTCAATAATCACATCAAATGTCGCCACTGGACCGCCTTGCACCCTTTGTGCCCCCCCGAACCCCACTTCCTGGAGCAGTGGTCGCAACACCTCCTTAAGAGGTGTGTCCAGTCGCCTTGGTCCCCCCAATAAGCCCAGATCTCCAAGCTACCCAGCTTTTCAGCTCCCCAGCTAATGCCGCACAGCTGCGCGCCATTTAAGTCGCTGACAAGTGTTTTGCCGGCATCTCCGGAATGCGACGGATACGGCGAGGTGGAGAGACCTGGCTTCCAGCCACCAGCCACCATACTCCAGCTACCAGGCTCCACAGCCACAGAAGCCGCAGCAAAAAGTGGCAGCCAACATTGCTACCAATTATGCGATAAGCGAGCGGAGCTCTCCGCACCAGCTGATGCCATTTCACCGCACAATTGTGAGAAAACTTTAAGCAAATACAATGCGGGCTAGCAAATTAGATGCTTCGACTTTTGGGCTTACACTCTAAATACCTTTATTCATTGTTCAGCGTTTTAATTGATACAATTAAGCATTTAGTTGTCGGCAAACAACACTTAATTGTACATCTATAAAGTCTGCAATTACCAACATTTTGATCAATTATGAAAACTAAATTGCAGTTGTCGGGACATTTTTGCACTATTATTAAAGGCTATTACGAATTTGCTTATGATATCTACCATTATAAAGGCAGAAATGTTAAATTTTTTCCTGAAATTGAAACATGTTTATTTATTGCAACATCAATGGCTTAAAGATAAGTCTTCAAACTGATTCCAGCTAAATACATCCCAAAAGTATCGTAATAATTTCAAAATTTTGATGAAGTTTAGATCTTTTCTAGAGATATAACTATAATATAATTCCTAAATTATGATAAAGTTAACATATTTTCTAGAAATAAAACCATTTCCTCAATTAAAAATATCTAAATATAAAACCTCTTGCTTAGATAACTATTTTCTGTAATTTCCGAAAACAAACATCGCAACATTGAAGAAAAATAAGTGGCCCTTTAAAAAAATCCAAAGAACCCCTGGAAACCTCGAAAAGAAAGCAAAAGTCGCAGCAGCGATTACACTTCCCACACTTTTCAATTAAAGCCCATTTTTTTCGCACTTGGCCAGCAAGTTCGTGCAACTTGCAGCCGAACAACTTGTTAACATGGCCAAAAGCGGTGGGAGACCCCGGCTAATGAAGTGATTAGACTGCGATTTCGCTGATGTTGTTCCCTTAAAGAGTATACGAAAAAAGCATAATAATAATGGAAAAGCAGAGAAAAAAAAATGAAATTGGATGGGGAAAACTAACAAAAGGCCGCGTGCGCAGCCATCAAACGAAACGAAAAGCGTGCAACTGCAACAAAAACACCGGCAAGAACAAGAGCAGAGGAATGACCTTATATTGCAACTGCAAGTCAAACAAAGGGCCGCTAATGGGTGGTATTGAGGGGGTTTTTCAAAGGGAAGGGGTCTTCGCAGGGTGCAGGAGCGAGAACCGGTCGATGCCCATTGGAGACCGCTCTCCCAGCCAAACGGCGCGGCTACTGCGGGGCAATTGGGCCAAAAGCATAAAAATCAGTCAAGAGTCGCCTCCGCCAGCTCCGCTCAGCATTAAAAGCGACAAACAAACAAACAGACGGACACTGAGCAAAAATAAAATAAAGATAATGGTGGTTATAAAGCGGCATTTATGAGTACTGAAAGTAAAATATCTTCACGATATCTATTTTTTGATAGCTAAACACCAGCTTGAAAGTAATTTTAAGACGGCATTAAATAATTACTCACGCTAATTTTTTACTAACATATCCCTTTTATAGGCTTTTTAAGTGTTATACAAATTGCAGTAACATACATCAAAAGTATGGTATTAAATTTATAAACTTCGAAGAAAAATATGGTAGGAATACCATTTAAATTAAAGTTTTAAATAGAGTCTAATGTTCAAAGAATTTAAATAATTTCTTGGAATAATATAAGAAAGGTGTTATTCTTCTCATTTTATTATAGAATGGATTCTCATGTCTCCAAATTTAAAGATTATATCCTTTTTATGTTGAGATAACCTCCTCAAAGTTATTACCATTGATATTTCTCACTGTGGACGAACAGGAGTGCAACTCCCCAACTGGGAAATGGGACCGGGAGTGGGAATAATACTGTGCACTGTGGACCGGGGAATACGAATGGGACTGTGACTGGGCCTCGGACTCGAACTCGAACTCGCACTGGACCTGAAGCTAAAGCTGGACCTGAAACCTGGACACTCGCATCCAAAAGGCCGCCCGTGCGAGCGCAGGCAGCGCTGAAATCGATTTTCTCGCAAACTTGGCCAGGACGGGCAGCCGCAGGGCCAACAACTACTCGCTGTCCTCGGTCCTCGGCCCTCTGTGCTCTGCTCCACATCGCCTCACTCCCAATCCCAATCCCGTTCGCATTCCCATTCCCATTCCCGTTCCCGTTCCTGTTCCCATCTTCCGCCTGCTCCTGCTCCTGGGCCTCCTGTTATTCTGGCTGTAATGGATATGGTCCAGGCGCGCGCGGTTTTCGTACCCGAGGTCCTCGTGGATTGTAAGGGTATATTGGATCATCAAAATTTAATGGTCACAGGGAAATGCCTAATGGTATATATAAACTGTATTTGGTTTAGAGAATGCATGTTGACTCATAAAGTGGAGATATATTATTGGCTCTGATGAATGGAAATTATTTCTGATTACCTATAAAAACTTTAATTGATATGGGGAAATAAAAGTATCTTTAAAATATTCTTTGAACTTAGAGTATAACAACAATATCGCTTTAACTTGAGAACATTTTTAATGGCTCTGGTAAAATAAAGATTTTATTATTATAACAATTTTAAATATATTTGGATATTAAAAGTATCTTTAAACGAAACTTCAAACTTAAGAACCCTCTTATAAAACCTATTTACAAATATTTATGCACTCTCTTTTTATAATAATACTTGACTTAATAACTTCAATGTTTTCAAAATATTCCATACTTTATCAATAATTCAATCTATACCCAAAAGAGAGTTACTAATGGTAGCAACGGGTATCGTATAGTCGAAAAGCCCGACTTTGGCTCACTTACCGGTTAATGATGATGCTGTTAATGATGATTCCTTTGATGGGGACGATGATGACGGTGCGGATGATGATGGGGATGATGCGGCGACCACGGTTTCGCTGATTTCGCTGCTGGGGTCTGCTGGTGCAGCTAAAATTGCAAGTCAAACTGTCGTCGCTCGGCGTTGTTTAGTTGTTTTACTCGTGGCATGGCGCTGCTCTTTCTCCTACTCTTTCACCCTGCCCCACCGCTTTGGTAATTGCAATTGCAATTTTCTCCAACTGCAAGTCCGGCTCCACCGACTTCTTCTCCGGCTCCCGCTCTTTCTGCTCCTGGGGGTTAGTAAA